AGGGGGTGATGTTGCTGTAGTCGAACGGTGAGACGGACGTGTAGTTCAGTTTTGGGCACGCGTACGGTGCTGCAGGGATATATATAGGTGTAGTAGTACCTCTTCGGGCTCTTGTACACCTTTTTCTTGCTACGTGTGCGTGTTCTTTAGATCCTCAGATGGCTCTAGCACTTTCGTGACCACGGGCCGAGAGTCTTTGCTAGATTTTGGCATTTAGCAACTGGCATACGGTTTAATGTGAAGTCAACAACAACAAATAGTGAGCGGTCCGCTGCTCATGTGTGGAGACAGCGTACAAATACGATTCCTCTCGCCTGGCGGCTTGTCTATCAGTCGTATTTGTGCTTCCATCATGACATGCGGCGAACCAACACGCCTGATGTGAAAATACTTGACAGCACCACAGCCCATTGACAGTGAATGGGTGTTGTCGAGGCGTTGGGGAGGAAGGTTTTGTGCAGCAAGTAGAGCGCACAGAGCGTCCAAAGAGGACTTTGCGACATTACCAAGCTTTCAAGAGCTGTGCATTCGTGTGTGAGGTATTTCACATTTCCGTCGATGGAACTGTAAGGGTGAAGTATCTTCCCATCTATCTGAAGGGCACCTCCATTCAACCATGGAGTGTGTCTCGGATTCCGGTTTTCATGTGGATGTATTGGAGCTGTGAAAGGAGCCGAAAGTGACTAGTGCGCGGGTAAAGCGGCCGATGGAAGGATTCACTGGCCTACCAGCACGCGGATTCCAGAACTCGGGGTACAATGGCCCTCCTTTACGTTAAAGGCACTTTTACAAAGGGAAAGCCATATGTCCTTAACCGAGGTTTGTTTTGTAGTGGGCACCGTGTCGTGTTCGTTGACATGAATAAGTGCGAAAAAGGCCCTTTTATCGTACTGTTTTCCGTGGGGTGAAGACCGGTAAAAGCGCAGCAGGGTACGCGCATCAACAGCTGAGGATGAACGAATCGAACAAGTAATTTGTTCCTACCTGCGTCACATGCAGCAGTAAATGAGCGGCATTGACGAGGTCTGTTACTGTAGTCTTGGGGTACAGTCCTGTGGCATGATTTCCCACTGCTGTCTGCTACGCATGCACGGTAAATACAAGTCGTGGGTTAAAGTAGTGCGTAACGTATTTGTGTCCGTCCGCAAACACTCGGCAACCAAACCAAACAGATTGATTCGGTTTGAATATCAATAAACTTGGCAAAAACCCAGGTTTTCCTTGGTGATGCCTTCGTGCTCGTACTGGCTCCCGCCCAAGGTGCATCGTTTGACGTATGCTATTTCGCGTGTCAAGGACACCTCCCTCCGCCATTGGAGCGACAAGTTTGAAGAGGGAAACTCATTCCATCACTGAAAGACTACTGTACTCGTTCGAGATAATGCCACAGAGTTCGAATGTGCTGATCTCGAGTATTCGGAAACTTGAAATTTGTTACAGGCGTACTGCTGTAAGATACTTCCACGGTGTTGTTGTTGTTGTCTTCACATGAAAAACCGTCCCGTTCTCTCTGCCCAGTACCCTCTGTCCGTACTAGTCTAACATTTGACGGGGTCGATTCCCGTGGTCACAGGCTAACTTACCCAAAAAAGGTATACGAAAATAAAATGTAGTATGTATTCAAGTCGCCTGAAACAGCAGCGAAGTACATTCTGAAAACAGCAAGTTGTCAAACGACACTGCGCCATGTTCCCTGTGAAGGCCACATTCCACATAAAAATTAAGCATGTATCCGCCTATACAGATGTTTTTGTTCCAAGCTCCAACTGGCATTTCTGATAACTCAGTGTTTGGCGTACATAAACTCGAAGTCTCCAGTTGGTTTCAATCCACTTACTGTAAAGACTTCACCACATCCCTTTCGACTGAGGTTATATCGCGAACGGGTGGTCTTTCTGTGAGCTTATGTTTACTTTCTGAAAATGGGCCCGAAGGGTCCGCAAGCCAATAAAAGTCAACGGCGGCTGGTCTAGCTAGGCCACTCCGCTCGCCTCTACACGCCATGCGAGGTAACCCTAGATTTTGGGGGTCAGAAAATAAATGTGACAGGTTAACCCGCAACGGACGGCGGTGGTGGCTCCCCCTGCAGTCCAAATGCCGGAGGGGAACCAACATAATACTCGACTCAACCGTTATGGAAAGTTGAACAGCAGAGTGGGACAAGCTCACACCAGTGACCATTGCTTGCGCCGACAAATGAACGAGGATGTGAAGCCAACACGGGTTTCGTCATGTCATGTCATTTTCGAGAAAAGGACGCTGATTCGCTGTCCTGTGATGGTACGTATTTATTCCTCGGAACAATGAGACCCGCACATTCTCTTTCTTGGAGACAGCACTGAGGCGAAGTACACAGATGCGGCCGGTTGTTCACATGCGACTGAGCAACAGCAGCCATAGAGACAAATGCCCCTTGACCATGTTCGATGGGCCTGTTATCCTACCTGTGCAAGAGTGAGACAACGGTCCTCTCACATACGCTCGGGAAAGGGTAAAAGATACAAGTTATATACACCTAAAGCATTAGCCCGCGGTATCGGCGTTGTTGGCCAACGCAATCGAACGTTGGAAACAGTATGTGTCACCCTCCTCCTTTAGCTGTAACGCCGAACAGAGGTGATTTCCCTATCTCTGTGTGTATGTTCTTGGGGCGTCGTCCTATTACCCATCAAACAGTCATATGGAGAATAGGGATGGATGGGGTTTGGTCGGAGTTGCTTGGCCCTCTGCGAACATCCAACATATTTTCCTCCCGTGCCTGCTCTCTCTAAGCAAAATCGCTTTTGCCAAAACTGCTCTGTGTGCCACTTGGACTCACCGTCGGCGCTCATCAGCCACGGGCGTCGGCTGAAGCCTGAGCAAAAGGCTGTCCACCTGTCTCCTGACGGACTTTCCTTTGTCTTGCCCTCGATCAGGCACGCCATACGGCTCCTGGGCGAAGGACGATTTGCTCCGCATGCAAGTCCTCTCACGCGCGCACGCACCGCCCCCTGCCCGCTGCCCTACTACCCACCCTAAGTTCCGATCGCCGGCTCTAGTCAATCTATTGCTCCTGAACCTCCACCTCCGATGTATGATGTACTACTAGAGAGCCCTTCAAGCCTCCATGCACCTCCGGGATTCGTACCCTTCACTTACTGATACACACACGCCCTCTGGTGGTGGTGAAGCCAAACTCGCAATGAGATAGATAGGACTCATTCTCGAAATTGTCCAGACTACTGTAAAAGAAAAAAAAACGCAGTCGACCCCGCGTTAGGGACGCACATGTTTTTTTTTTCTTCACAGGGACTTTTTTTGTGCGAGTCCCGAAAATCTGTTTTGGAGTCTCAACGCATGGAAGGCTTCGGCAACGCTCCACCTGCTTGGCTGGCAACCACACAGCGCTAGTTGCTCTCTCTCCGACTGTCGAGACACACACGATCACATACGGCGAGCATGCATAGCATGGCAGATGACATGCTGGAGACGGCCAGGGCCGAAAATGGCGCAACGGGAAGGAGCCAGCGCGTCGGCCTGCTTTCTGGAGCCCAGACGGGGGCGAGGCTGCTGCCGCCCGCAGAAGGCGAGGCAGCTGCTGAGAACGGCAGCAAGCGGAGCGTTGGTGTCGCGGACGTTGACCGCTTCAACGCGGGGTTAGCGTGAGCCGCTCAATATCGGTCGGAGGCTGGTTGTGATGATGATTATCATGGGGAAGATTCAGACAGCTCTCCTGTTGATGTGGACGACCAACGGCANTGCATAGCATGGCAGATGACATGCTGGAGACGGCCAGGGCCGAAAATGGCGCAACGGGAAGGAGCCAGCGCGTCGGCCTGCTTTCTGGAGCCCAGACGGGGGCGAGGCTGCTGCCGCCCGTACAAGGCGAGGCAGCTGCTGAGAACGGCAGCAAGCGGAGCGTTGGTGTCGCGGACGTTGACCGCTTCAACGCGGGGTTAGCGTGAGCCGCTCAATATCGGTCGGAGGCTGGTTGTGATGATGATTATCATGGGGAAGATTCAGACAGCTCTCCTGTTGATGTGGACGACCAACGGCAGCAGCAGGCAGTCGTTTGTCTTGGGCTGCCCGCAGCCTGATGGGCGGGCGCGCTCCGTCTCAGGCCTTCACGGCTTGTGGGAGCGATCGACAACCTACGTGGCAGCACCCTTCTGCGGTCGGCGAAGAAGGTGGCAACACCGAGGTACGCTGCTGTTGCAAAGCTGGTTTTTGTTTTTTTTGGCATCGGTCCGCGAGGTGGTCCTTCAGATTTACAAGTACCAGTACAGAGCAGGACATGTAGTCCGTCTACACGGCAGCAGCAGCAGCAGCAGCAGCAAGCAGCACTCCATTCGAGAATGCTTGCTCTAGTGCGTAGCATGGTGGCCACATGGTGCAGGTGGGCAGTTCTTTGGGGGTGCTATCGCTCCGTATCNTTTTTTTTTATTTTTCCAAATACGTCGTTTTTGTTTTTTTTGGCATCGGAGGTGGGCAGTTCTTAGGGGGTGCTATCGCTCCGTATCAGTACCCCACACGCAAGTTGTGCTGGTTTACGAGGAGGACCAACAACAGCAGTGCTACACAAGGCTGCACAGATACAAAACAAGGTTTGCGTTTGACTCCACATCGGATTTTCCATGAACTCCTGGACTTGGCATAGACTACAAGTGCTGCTGCTGTGGGTTTGTTGTTCATGAACGCATGCTTTCCCTTTGGTTTCTTCGTTGTTTTGGCGCGGCAACACGTACTTGCGTCTAGTTTAGTATCTCCGCAATTGTACCAACGCACCTCTCGTCTTGCACCGACGCGACCACGGTTGATTTCGTGGTATCGTGCAGGAGAGGATCGAAAAGTGGAGGATCCTGTGCTTGTAGAAGTAGGTGGAGAGGATGGCGATGGGTGTTCTCCAGGTGCGGGTGGACAGCATGATGGCGTGCTGGATGTACTTTCAGGGCAGGTGAGAGGACAGCAGGAAGGCAGAGTACCTGAAGCTAGATAGAGGACAGCAGCGGCAAGAAACGCTTGCCGCTAGCCGGGAACCCCAGCTCACGCCGTTTTTTGTTGGGGGGGGGTAGGGTTACGCGCGGGTACGGCAGGCGCTATCGTTGGGCGCGGGGTGTGCATATTCCCCCTGTACAGTATGTGGACACGTTCCGTGACGCGATAAAAAAAAACATGATCAATACATAACTAACGTATGTCGGTTATTGCATACTGCTGTAGCCTTTCTGCACGTATACTTGTTTTTCCTAAATACTGCTGTAAAAAGCCCCCCTCGAACGACTATGAATTTCGCTCGAACAGGGAGCTTTTATGTGTTTAACGGGTAGTCTTTCTATGTGCATATTTGTTTTTCCTAATATATGTATTTTTCTAAATTAAACCAGCAACTACTGTCAACATGACATATTGCGCCGTGTTCCCTGTGCAGGCCACATGTAAATGTACCTACGCAGATGTTTTTGTGCTAAGCACCAACTGGTATCACTGATATAAATCATCAGTGTATAGGCTTAAACAAACTCGAAATAAGTCAAGTACCCAGCTGGTTTTCCTCTACTCACTGTAAAGACTTCAACATATCCCCTTCGAGTGTAGTTATACCTCGAACGGGTAGTCTTTCTGTGTGTATATTTGTTTCTCCTAATAATGCGACACGGTATTTTTTGCCCTCTATCGCCCACGGCCACGAGACTCCGCCCGTACCCACAACCAGTTTCCACATGGCGCATCGTTGGAAGTCGACCTCTCGTAGGAAAGTCAATCAATATGCGCGTCGACTCTTAGAAAGGATGGGAACAAAACAGGATATCGCTGTCCTCCAAACGCTTCTGGTGGTGTTCATGGCGCGGCTGCTGCTGCCGCGGGCGTTTTGATGTTACTTGCGTCGGTGGTGGTGATGGTGGCGGGAGCAGCGTGTTTTGTTTCGCATGAGTGATGGACATGATGAAATCGACCATCTGTTGTTTTCGAACGGTTGGCGCCACAATGCGAAAAAAGGCGGTGTTTGGGGGGTAGCACGCCCGCACATGAATGAAAGGCTAATTACCATGAAAACCTCACGAGGAGCCAACATTGGAGGCCGTTTTTGTCGCGCCCACGGGATATCTGTGCGTGCATCAACAGTCAAGCTAGAAATTTGGCGAGGTGTGAGGTCGATGTAACCATCACTATAGCCGGGTTGCCTTTATATTCCCGTGATGAGCGTCGTTCGTTGTATGTGTGTGTTTCTTCTCTTGTTGGGTTTAAGCTGTGGGCCCTCGCGACTCCAACCTACAGTATCATCGTGGGGTGCGCTTCTCCCCCAAGTTTTTTTTGGGTGAAACACGTTTTTTTTTCGTCCTGCCTTGCGCCATTGTTTGTATGTCGTTCCCTTTTTCCGTTGACGCCCCAACACAAGTACCATGTGGAATGCAGAAAAGATTGTTAGCGACATCAGATTTCACCACTCAAGACTCACGGCTTTGTTCCCATCCCATTTCCGACGAACGTGGGCCGTTTCTTCGCTCTCTCCTTGGCACATCAGAAATTCAAGGAGAACGAGCAAAGAAGTGGTGGGGCCGGTGCGGACGCAACTCAGGACGGGGGATTCGTCAACGCCCGTCATCCGTTCCAGTTTATGCGGGGCTCGTTACCGACAATGCTCTGGGAGGACGGTATCGAGCTCTCCGGCGGAGGCGACGACGAGTCATACCGCCCCGGCGATATCGTCCTCCCCGATGGACACCCAGGCTCAGGCAGCAGCGTGCCGGGTGGACCCGGGGTCCGAGGGAGAGGTGAGGCGACACCCGCCCGTTCCTCTGGCAACACCAACTCTCGCAAGCACAAGAAACCCAAGACGGGTTCCGATGACAGGGCGGAGCTGGTAGCCGACACGAAGGAAGTGGTCGCCTTGTGGCGCAAAGCAGCGGAGCAGGAAGTACGGGGAGACGAACCTGCTTTCGGTGATACAGAGAAGGACCGAGCGAAGGACCTTGCCATGGAGGGATTCATCGACGATGTTCAGAGGCTCCAAGCAAAGGTCGATCCTGGATCATCGAACTTTTTGCGGGAGAAATATCAGAAGTTGTTGGATGCCGCTGAAGCGCGAGTGGCACGGGCTGAGCAGAGCAGCGACGAGGCGGCTGTGGCATCATCGAGCGCCGCAGCCGCGCCCCCACCGTCATCGAGTCCTGCTGCGCCATCTACGCCTGCAGCGGTCGAAGGAGGAACGGTCGCGGGCCATGTGATATAGGATCTCCATGGGCTTCTGGGGCGCACGCCCGTGGATGATTTGCCGGCGATGGCACGGGCCGTGGCGCGTACAGGCGACGGGGGTGGGGCTTGAGTACTGGTTGCGCGGGCGAGAGGCGGGGTTGGATGGTGCGGGGGATACAGTCTTTGGTGGGAGCACCCTGGCTGGAAACCTGCGGGCGACTGCGCGGGTGTTGCCGTAACAGTCCACACGGGGGCGCAGGGGCAGTGGGGCGTGTGTGTTTCGGAGTGAGCGGCAACAGCAGGACGAGAACAGAATGTAAGCGCACATGTTGAATGCTCCCCGAGCCGTGAGGGATGCTGTGTTTTTGAAGTTTCAAACGTGGGGGGNACGGGGGTGGGGCTTGAGTACTGGTTGCGCGGGCGAGAGGCGGGGTTGGATGGTGCGGGGGATACAGTCTTTGGTGGGAGCACCCTGGCTGGAAACCTGCGGGCGATTGCGCGGGTGTTGCTGTAACAGCCCACACGGGGGCGCAAGGGCTGTGGGACGTGTGTGTTTCGGAGTGAGCGGCAACAGCAGGACGAGAACAGAACGTAAGCGCACATGTTGAATGCTCCCCGAGCCGTGAGGGATGCTGTGTTTTTGAAGTTTCAAACGTGCGGGGAGTATTTGATCTGTGTTCTGCGCGAAGGCGTTGCCCGGCATGGGGGTTGCGCGGGGGTGAACCGTTCAGTAAACGCAACACCACGCGCCAACCCCACTTGATTTTCAGTATCTACTCATTTTCTATTTGTGGCGAGGGATGTACCAGATCTCAGGGGGGCAATACCTGCCCGGATATGGCGAAGAGTCACTTCGCTTGGAAGTTGCTCCGTAGCTACTATAATAGATACAGTAGGCTGTTCCCACTCAAACAGTTGTTCCCCGGGGGAATCAAGGACTTGGCTTTCCCGACCAAGTTTTTTTTGTGCTGTGTCTGGGGTGGGTGGAAACTACTGCTGTACGTGGGCACGAAAAAGGAGGCCTTTTTGTGACTGCCGTTGACCTCGCCAAACTTGAACAACCCACATGGCTCGTCGGACAACCACACATGATTTTGTTCAGATTGATTTCATAAGGTCCGCGTACTCCTGTCAACCATGGCATTGGGAGGTGATGCATGTTTTTTTTATGAGTTTGAGGTGCAACGATTCTTGACGCGGCAAGCGACGAGACTCCTTGCCCCTTTTGGCGAGGATATCGCACACGTGATGAAATATTCGGAGTGTTTCCGGAAATATTGTTACTCCCTCCGACCCCTTCAGATTTGGCTGAACAGCAGCAGGAAGTGGAGCTACAGCATTATGACAGAGCATTGCGATGCTTTCACGCACGTCGGGTTTTCCCTCGAAGGAGGAGATCTGTTTGGTTGTTCTCATGTTTGGTTCAAGGTTCTGCGGATCCTCGCATACCTCGGTGCACAATCTGCCGGCCCCCATTCTTTTTTTTTTATGTTGTTGAGCTTTCCGTTAGCTTTCGTTTGAGCACTTCAGCGCGCCGATCTGGTCACGCAGCCACGAGATACGGCAAGGTGCCCACCAGCCCCTTGATGTGGGGCATCTTGAGCCTCCTCGGACTCCTGCTGCTAAGCATGGGTCGGCAGAGAGTGGACGCCGCAGCCGCTGAGAAGGCGTGTGAAGCGGCCCGCAGCGGTCTCATGTCACAGAAGGCCGCTGCTGCTGCTTTGGGGTGGGTAGAACCTCCCTGCAGCGGTATCTGGGTGGTGTGTGCGCCATGGACGCGAGGGTTGGCCCCGGGACTGTCATGACCAAAGCCGAGGAGGATGCAGTAGAAGATTTCCTGCTGTACGCTGGTAGAAACTACATTCCTCTCACCACCGCAGACCTCACGGAACGCGTGAGACTGCTCTGTAACGACGGTCGGCCGATCCCGTGGAACCGTGACAAGGCCCCGGGAAGGATTGGCTGAGGGGCTTCCTCGGACGGCACGAGCGCGTCAGCAAGCGACTTGCCCGCATCTACGAGTCAAACAGGGTGACCACGCCGGAGGACGAGCGTCTGCACAAGTTCTAGTCTACGACTTTTGGGGAGAGTTCCTCGCTCAGCACAAGCCGGAGCCCGACCACATTTGGAACACGGACGAGTCCGGTGAGCATAGACTACTGGTGAGACTACTGGTGTAGTGTCCGCAGCAGCTGCTGTGTGATGGTTTGCGGGCTTGTTTCTACGTCGTCAGCAGCAGTGCACAGCAGTTTGAAGATTTGGCAGAGTTCTGCTGCTGAAATTTGGAGTTCCCCCGCATCCGCAATGCGCATTGTGCAAATGGTGTGCGCAGAGGACCGCTGCTGGATGTACGCTGGGTGCTATTCGGGTGTCTGTAATTAAATATGACGGCAGAAAAACACGCGCTGCTTGCAGAGAAGGTACATGTTATGTCGGCAGCAAATACATGCGTTGCTTGAAGAGAAGACACATGTTCTTTGGCTTCACACACCCGGATTTGATGTGTGAAGTTGAAGCTACGTGCGGTGCTCTGCTGTGCGTATCTTACTCACCTTCGACTGCTGTTGCTCTGATTGAAATGAAGCCTAGATTTTTTTTCTCAAGACCCTCAGACGAAAGACTAGACTAGACTATTGCACTCCTCACTGCTGTTGTGGTGACGAAGCTCTGCAGCAGCTCGGGAACATTTTACACGTGAGGACATTGCACCCTGTCTAGTCTAGACTCCCCCTAGCCCGTTCCCCCGCGCCCCACCCATGGTGGGCTGAACGTTGGTGGTGCGTGTGAGCGCTGTTTATCCTGTTCTTACTCTCCATCCGCTTTGACCCCCCCCATGCGCGCTTTTCCGCCATAAACTATCATTGTAGGTGGCACCATTCAAGGTGCACAGGGACAGCGGGTCTTCGCGGAACGGGGGCAGCCGGTGGTTCCCGAGATGCGCTCCACCTCGCGAGAAAACTGCACGACGATCGTCACTACTATCAACGCGAACGGCGCCGTGTTGGCCCCTACCATCATCTTCAAAGGGAAGCGCTTCAACGCAGATTGGGTCGTGCACAACACCGGCCCGCCGGGTGCGACGTATACTTGCACGGAGTCGTCCTTCATGTGTGGTGACGTTTTCATCAAGTACATCAAGGACTTCCACAAGCAGCTCTGCCTGCGCAATTCGCTCGACGGAGAACCCCATGTGCTCGTGCTGGATGGGCACGCGTCGCACGTGAGCTTGGACGTCGTTGAGTTGGCCAGGTCCCTCGACATCCACCTAGTCCAGCTTCCCTCCCACATGTCCCTTATCACCCAGCCCTTGGACGTCGCCGGCTTCGGGTGCTTCAAGAAGGAGCTGACCAAGGCGATCCAGGCCTTCACGGCGACACACGGAGGGGCATTGCCGCGGAAGCGGGACATGGCCGCCGTGATCGGGCAAGCGTGGAGCACGAGCTTTACCCCGGAAATCAACAGGGCTTCCTTCGCCGGGGCGGGCCTGTGGCCGGTGGACAGGGAGCGAGCACTCGGTCGGCTGCTGCACCCGAAGAGGAAGGCGAAGGAAGACGACCGCCATCCCCTGCAGGGCGTCCCCATCGCCGTGAGCAACGATCGGCTGGACTAATTGATGGGCGATCGGTCTGTCCTGCTGGCAGAAGGCCACACTATCACGGAACTCCGCGTGAGCACGGTGTTTCTGAGCGACTTCCTGCCCAGCAAGCGTTCCAAGAAGCCGCCGACCCGGGCGAACTTGGGCATTCCAGAGGGAGGACTCCTCATTGCTGACGGTTGGGTGGAGGAGATGCGGAAGAAAGAACGCGAAGCCAAGGCTGCCGAGGCCGATAAGGTGGCAAGGGCCGCCGCGAAGCAAACGGCGCGAGAAGCGAAGGCGGCGGCGGCGGCGGCGGCG